TGATGCCTGGCACATAGTAAAAAAAAAAAAAAAAACCCTTGCCGTGGAGTTGATTCCAATTCGTAGCGACCCTATAGGACAGAGTAGAACTGCCCCATGGGGTTTCCAAGGAGTGGCTGCTGATCTTTTGGTTAGCAGCCGAACACTTAACCGCTGTGCCACTGGCACATAGTAGGCACTAACAAATCCTGGTCAAACAAATGAACTCATACACATATACGTTTATAAATGCGAAGCTGAAACATCTAGAAGTAAAATGCCAATAGCGATCTTTAATTACTCAAAAAGTAGTTATATTTACTCAACTCCTTGGTTTGGCAACCACCTCCCCTCTGCTGGAACAACAGAAAGTTACAAAAGGCTCTTCCTGCTAAGGCCTCTTCAGTGCACACTCCTGTCTCCATCCTATCCCCACACCCTGGCTCCTTCTTCTCCCCACCCCAATGAACTATTTTTCTGAGCTTTCTGGCTGGCATTTGCACAGAGTTCACACCTTGCATTTGTCTTCCAGCACCCCCACCTCTCCATTCACTATTGTATTTGGTATGGATGTCTCTGGAGTAAGGAACTACGTTGAGAAGTTAGGGCTGGAACTCAGGAACCTCATCCTAAACACTTCTCTGTGGCAGTGAGTATCTATTAAACGCTAGAAGAGCATCACGGAGCTTCTCTGCCCTTTCCAAGGCATTCAAAGGAAGGCAAGCAGGTACACATGGGAGTAAGATGCAAATGACATGGACTCAAACTTGGGATGCTTAGGTTGGGATCTAGTTGGAATTCTGATGCCATAGTTTTCATTGTGCTGCTGATGTCAGGGTCATCACTTCTTTCTATGGGACTCAGAGAGCTCCAAAAGATCTGACAGTGGAATTTCAGTAACTCTGAGGGGCAGGTAGAGCCCAGTGCCACAGATCAATATATTTACCTTCCTTCCATGTAATTTAGTCTCTTTTACATTCTTTCCATCACCTTCTTCCTTTCCTTATTCCAAGGTGTTGGGCCTATTATGCCCTCATTCCTATCTTCTCTCCTGGCAAGGGAGAACTTAGGGGAGCAGTGTGGTGTACTGGCTGGCAAAACTGACTCAGATCCTGGCTATATCACTTCCTGACTGTGTAATCATGGATAAGTAAGTTACATAACCTCTCTTAAACCTGTAAAATGAGAATAAAACCAACTACCCTACCAGGTTTATAGTAAGGATTAAGTTAAATACAGTAGCACCTAGCAGAGGGACTAACACATAGTAAATACTCAATAAAAACCATCCCCTTCCTCCTGTTATGGATATACCATACTTTTTCCAGGTACCAAAACATCCAGAGGACACAGAGGGTGAGATCATGGTTCCTTTCCTGGACTACTCATTTAGTATCTCTCTCTTGCTAGAAGTAGAGGTACAATGAGAGAAAGGGTAATTCTAGTAAATGACTTAATATGACTCACTGACGCATAATGAAATGTAATCAGTATGGAGCTGTTGTTCAGAGAAGGCAGCACTGCTTACTGGCCCAACTCAGAAGATCTAAAAGGAAATTTATTCCTTTACATCACCTCTGACATGACAGGACACTGGGCAAACTTGCCTTAGCCCTTCTCTCTGCTGTCTTCCAATCTGTAAGCACATCATCTGCAATCCCTTCCTGCCCCCATAAAAGGACTAAAAGCACTCTGGAATAAGTTGCCATGACTGAGTATATTATTTTCAATGTGGGTTTCAGTTAGGAGATTTAAAAAACGTTAAGAAAACACTACTTCCTAAACTCTCAGATAGCACAAAGAAAGCCTTATTAAATATTTGGCATCTTACCTTTACTTTTTCACCATTAATCTCCACTGTCTTAATCATAAAATCAACTCCAATTGTGGCTCCTTGACCTGGGGGAAAAAGACCCTAAGGAAGAAATAATAGAAAATAACAGTTAAGCAAATCTTGCAATTAAATGAGATTCTCCCCTGCCCCACCCATCACCAGGCTCTTCCTTCTGCTCAGCTATACTGGTAGGAAAGAGAACACTGGTTAGTGTCATAGAAGCCCTGTTTAATTCAACTTTGTGTGTATGTTTTATGTGGAGGAGACGAGGGAGAAGGTAGGAGAGAGAAACACTAAGAGGGAGAAGGAAAGAAAAAAGGAGACAGGAAAGGGAGAATAAAAGGGTGAAAGGAGGGAACTGGGAGAAGGGAGGGCAATGCCCCGATTTCAAAGAATGTAACAGAAAATCAGACACAAGGATAAGACTGAGAAACATGGAGCCACAGGGATAAGGTCAGGATTGTTAGGGTTAGGAGTAAAATGGGTAGTTGCTCTAAAAGAGGCAAAATCGAAGAAGGACAAAGATTAAAACTGGTTATGAGTTTTGTGGATGGTTAGTCATAGGGGTGGAAAACCAATATGAAGAAACAAATAAGAACTCAGCATGAAAAACATGAACGTGACAATGAAGCTTTGCAGTGTATAATACACATATAATTACACGAGTTCAGGGCCAATAACACTGAGAAGAAAATCTAAGAAAACAAAGTCATTCAGGGAGATAGTATGGTAGAAATGGAACTAAATAAGGAGGCAGCATCCTTTGGATCTCTGTGTGACCTCAGGGAAACCACTCCCCCTCTCTGGGCCTCAGAATCATGCTCTTAAACTGGGAGGAGATGATGTTTGTAAGAAAATGAGGCAATGAGTAGATGATCTCTGAATTACCCTCCAAATCAAAGGTTCTCCAATCTATTGTGTATCAGGCCGCTGTAAGCATTTCAAAACCAAAACAGTTTTACCTCAAGCTGGAAGCTTAACCAGAACGACAGAATTTTAGCAAAATTACATGTATAAAGTGATTTACTATTACATAATATTTCCTGTAAGCTTGGGGAAGGGAATGGAAGTAGGAAGAAATTCTAATAAGAAGCATTCTTTACTAGTTTCCTTTCCCTCATCGCTTGCATTCCAGAATTTCTAGAAATTAAAGTAAAATGGAGTTTATTAGCTCTGGCAGCTAAAATCGGGGCATCTTTTACTAAGTCCATTCCCTAACAAAAGGGCTCTTTAATTAAAGTTTGAACTTAAAAGACTGAGCTTCAAACCAACAGAAAATGTTCCATTGCATGTTTACAAAAGATATAAACATTCCTAACTTTACATACAAATATTGAATCAATTTCCTTCCATTTTGGCTTGGCTGAATCACAAGCCTGCCAAACTTTAAGTTGATAGCTCCAGCTGTTTTGCAGTCTATCAAATACAAAAACAAAACAAAACAAAAACAAAGACTTCCCAATGTTTTTCCTGCCATTTTGTTCCTCAACCCATCACAACTCAAAAACAGCTGAATCCAATTCATTTTAACTGCCCACTAAATAATCAAAACAAGCATAGTCCTGTCTTTGAAGCAAGAACTTTTGGAGGAGTAGAGGGGCTGAGCGGTATAAAAACTGGACAAAAAAGAAAAATAAGAAAGGGGTGGTCTGCATGCTGGTGAATTTAGTTTTCAGAAATTAAAGTATTTTCACCTTTAATGATAATGTTTATGCTTTTAAAGTGAAAGGCCAGATTCCTATGGTCTCAGAGGTTAAAACATGCAGAAGATAAAAATTATCAGGCTGAGAACCAGTAGATCTGGGTTCTAATCCTGGCCCCACCACTAATATGATGTGAGATCCTAAGCAAGTCATTCAGTCTCTCTAGACCTGAATTTTTCATCTGCAAAATGACAAGAGTGGACTGAATAATCTCTGAGGAATCTTTGAGTAATAAGATAAGGTCAAGGGAACTTTTGACAAAGGGACTGAAAACTTCTCGTATCTCTGCAGTCTTGTCCTCCTGCCAAAAGCAGAAAAGATTACTAATGTCAGGTGGAAGTAAAATCAGTTGGAGTTTCCAATGTAACTCCATGGTGGCTGACTGAGCCCAGGTGCCCGTTAGCTTTTTACTTTTAATTTCACTAGGCCAAGGCTTGATAAGAAGCAGGGGTTCTAGTCTGTATTCATTTAGCATGGGAAAAACCCTGACATTTCCAAAGGTGACTCTCTGCCCTAGAGCTGTTTCTGTATCCAATCTGCCTCTCCAGTTTTCCATAAAACCACAAACTGTTAGAGGTGAAGGGACCTTGGAGATTGTCTAGCCCCTTATGTGCAGCAGGGAGGCCCAGGAAAGGGAGGTAATTTACCCAGGCTCACCGGGCGAGCCAGGGGCAGAGCCGGGACTAGCGCCTGTGGACTCTCCAGTCAGTGTTCTTTCCCCAGCACCAGCTTGCCCTTTGCCTTAGATGAAAGAGCTAGTTGCAACTTTTCCCAACAACCACTTTATGAAAATGCAAGACGTATGCATGACGATCCTGACAAGGGCACCATTCATACTTTTCAGAGAAAAATACAGAAGATCAACTTTAGAATAATTTCTTACTGATTTTTTAATATAATCTCTGGCAGTGATTCTCAAAAGTGCAGCCCCGAAAAGAACTTGTACTTAGGTCACATGATAAGGACTCAACTCAAAGGAAACATTCAATTCAGTTCAGATAATTCTTCATTGTTCCCATCTCATTCACATTTAATAAATTTAGAAAATCAGCATATTTAGATCTAAATAAAAATGATTCAGTCAGTTTCCTGGGAGGATATGAGGGGGAAAAGGCAGAGAGCTTGACTAGTTAAATGTGTATTTGAGTTTTTTTAAAAAGTTAATATTTAGGTTTAGTTTGATGTCCAGATTCATTTGTTGCTATTGTATTACTATTAACTAATAATCTATTTTTGATATGCACACTGAAAGCAAAACCACCCGCACTTTTCAGTAGAGGAAGCAACGAAAGGCATTGAGGGCTTGTGGTGGCCCATAGAGCATGCTCCCCTTGAGATGGTATAAAAAATGCCAGTGTAGACTACAAAGCTGATGCACCTTTCAAAGACTGCATTAAGAACTTGTAGCCAAGAGGCTGGCACTGGGGCCAGTTACCCATCCCATCAGATTTCCCTAACCCCACAGCCTAGCCTGAGAAACCCAACCTTGGTTTCCAAGTCCCCTTACCTGAGTGAATCGTCGGACTAGACACGTCTTCCCCACACCAGCGTTGCCAATTAAAACAATTTTGAACAGGAAATCATAATCTTCCATACTCATTTACACAGCTGCAAGGTAAACACAGGCAAGAGCGTGATAGACCTGGTTAGACTTGCCCACAGAGCTCAAGCTGCACCAGCCCCATCGCTTGCGAACAACAGGTCTGACTCATTTGAAGAGCAAATTAATGTTCCCCTTTGATGATCATGCCAGCGAAAGAGGAGTAGAGGTGTTTGGTCACATGCGGACTTTATTCCTTCCCAGTTACCTCATGCCACAGACAGTAACACAGATGGCCTGTCACCTAGTAACCTTTATTCTTCCAAGTAGTCAGGTCACAGGTCGCTCATGTGATAAGATCTGTTTTCTTTAGCATGGAAAGGATATTACAAATCTACATGTAGGCTAGCTGCAGGTGCAAAGAAGCAGGGACAAAAGAGAGCCTGTCCAAAGCTTAAAGGTAGTTTATGGGCCATATGTGCCTCTGGGAAGCAATGCTAGTGACCAGGAGACTGGGTCATGGGATGGACCTGTGAAGGGCTCTTCCAGTCTCCCTGCAGGTTCTGGGGATCTTGGGGTCTTACCAATGGGAGCTGTAGCCATCTTTCCCTTCTACCACTACCTCATTCCTGCCAGCCATACTGACCCTATAACGCCTCCCAAAGTGCCTGATTTTTCATCCGTATATGAGATTTGGTACATGACATTTCCTCTGCCTAAGATAGCTGACCTCCCACCCTTTCTGTGCCATGAAATCCTTCAATACTAAATGCAAGCATCTCTTTCTTTCTGAATACCTCCCTGATCTTCCTCAATAAAGTTAAGCATTTCTCCTTTATACTTTCACCATTCCTCTGTCCTAAAACTTCACTTGCTATATACAGTTATTTTTTCAAATATAAGCCTCATCCATGTGGAAATGGGCTATGT